TCAGTTGGTCCATGAGGATCCGCGATGAGATGTTCGATATTCTGGTTTGCGTCGTGGGTTTCACCACAATCACAATCTTTGGTTCGTCAAAGCGCTCAAGGTGGGTTCCCCATTGTGGTTTTTGCTTTTTGTATGTGACTCGCGTCCAACTGTCTGTCGTTTCAGGAGGAGAACTATCGTTGATGTTAGCTATCCTGCTAATCTCGTCGTCGCTGATCTCGAAATTATCGTCCCGGTCCTGACTACGGAATCTTTTCGCCGGAATTATCACCTTTCTTGCGTTGTTCTTGTTGGTTTCTAGCTCCATGCTATTGTTTTCGTCGTTCTCGGTGCACCTTTCGATCGGCGTTGTTTCAGTACTCGCCATGTTCAGAATGCGGGGTGATGGGCAGGCCTAGTTCTGCCTACCCGGGGTCCGGGCCTACGGCGGCCTCTCGAGGTGAGAATTAAAAGAAAGACACGCCTACATTTGGTTCTGCTGGAAGTCTTTCGATGGGACGCCGTCCTTAGGTAAAAGATTTGGGTCGGGGGACCCAGTTGATGGCAGGAATTTAGTGGTGTTAGCGGAGCTGAAGCGAACGCTGCTGCTCCTCATGCCACTTCGTCGTCTTTTTTTCCTAAAACTCCATAATGTTCACTTCTCGTTCAACGCATACAGTGCAAACAAAGAAGTATGCTTACCAACTGCGTTGAGTTGCTCGTTCTGTCGCGTCGTCGGTCTTCCGCGCTCTTCTTGAACATAATCATCACAAGAGAAAACTTCACAGATAGATAAACTTGATTAAATTAACACATTTCCATGTCTATAGGCATTTCCATCCCGCGACATACCCAACGGTCGCAAAGCTGGCGAAACCATTCCGGAAAAAGAAAAAAACAAAGAACTGGGGGGGCTATGTTCGACAAATGATTCGTTTCTCCTAAAAAGAAACGGAAGTGACCGAAATGACGAGATCGCGTCTGATTGACTAGAGGTTCAAATGACGAAAGAGGGAACTTTCGTCATTTGAGCCTCTAACCAATCAGACGCGATATCGTCACTTTCGTCACTTCCGTTTCTTCTTAGGAGAAACGAAACTTCTGTCGAACATAGCCGACATAGCCCCCCTGGTGTCGCTACCGATGGGGCGTCGAAGACGCGATCCTTAAATTATGAAACCGAAACGATTAAAAGTTGCAATACTGAAACCGAAACTGACCAAATCGCGGTAGAGGGGCGCCGTAAATAGGTCTGTTCACATGGTGCATCGTGTTGGCGACTCTTGTGTCGCAAAACTAGGTTTCGGGAAACAGATTCCCCGTCTGAACTCGACCGAAAAAGTGGCGCGCCTCCGAAAAAAGTGGCGCGTGTTTCTCGCTTCTCCAGCAATTTTTCGCTGTAACCTCACCGACGCCCGTCAATCACCCGAAGGAGAAACGCGGACGCTGCCAATGGCCGCTCGACTTCGCTATGACGTCTGACCTTCGAGGAGGAGCGAGCTTTTGCAGGAGTCTGATTTTTGGCCGATCCCGTATCCGAGCTTTGCCGAAAGAAAACAAACAAACATGGCGAGCGACAATCCCCCCCTATGCGACAAGCGGAGAAGCGGTGCGTACGGGCGACGAGTGTTGGTCCTACTCGGTTGCAGGTGTGTGAACGGCGCCTACAGTACGGATTGGGGGCGCGGTGCAGATTCGTCAACAGTCGTGGCGGGTACAAGCACCGTATATAAACATGATGACTGGGGATCACGTTCTTTATTAGCGGTGTAAAAATGTCCGAAATGCTTCGAGATCATCTCGCGGTTTTTCTCGGGTTTCGCAGGACTAGTAAACCCGGTGAGCCGAATCTGACAAAATTCATTGAGTGGCATTAATAAAACAGGCTGTCCCTTCACACTGTGCGTACTTCATTTCATTTTGATGCGAAACGCTTCTTATTCCTGGTGCAGATGACAAGGTTTGGCGAAATTCTCGTGAGTCAATACGTCGCAGGTTTCGCGCGTCAAACTCCGCGTGCGAACAGGCCGATTTCGCGAAATCTTGGTTTCGCTAAACTGTGGCGCGTTGAAGACATACATCGTGTGAATAAGCCTTTAGGAGTAAAAGAGGGTGAATACAGTTATTATTTTAAGCACAGGAAATAAATCTGTATATCAGAACTAGCACCGACACGCTATTTGTTTCGGGTGCAATGCAGTAGGGAGTAGATTTATTGATTTGTATTTTTTTGATAACACTCATTTTAATGTTTAATGAGTAAACTCAAAAGAATTGCTATTGATTGGGTAACGATAAGCCTCACTTGAATTTGTAATGAGTAAGCTCAAAAGAATTGATATTGATTGGGTAACGATAAACCTCACTTGAATTTGTAATGAGTAAATTCAAAAGAATAGATATGGAGTGGGCGGCGTGGCTAATGATAAAACTCATTTAATGATGAGTTTCTTATGAGTTTCATTTTACTTTATAAAAACACATTAGAAGCTCAATTGAAACTCATTGTTCATTTTTGTAAGGGATGTATTGCATTATCAGTATTTGTATTTCTGCCCTCCCTAAAATGTATTCTTGTATTTGTATTTTCAAAGACTTTGCCTCTTTTTAAAATGTATTTCCGATACGTATTGCGATACATTTTTGCAGTTATATTTGAGACTTAGTATCAGTATCTTAGCAACTATTTTCATCTATCCCAGTATTTGTATTTCCAAATACATTTTTGAATATTTCTGCCCAACCCTGCAATGCAGCTGTCAAGTGACACTTATAACGTTTAGGAATTAGAGGAATGGAATGGAACGATTCAGCCATTCCAGGAGTGGGAATGGGCCCAGTGTCCCCATTCCTAGGAATTGAAAGGAATGGATTTATCGAAAACTCTAGTTCCCCGGAATGGAATTGGAATGGAAAGAAGGTGCCCATTCCGCAACACTGGTGCGGACATGTTGCGGCCGAAAGAACGGGTGTGCATCGCGCTGTTCACGCTGTCTAGCTGTCGCGCCGCACAGAACCGAAGGTGGGACCGGACATTTCATCGAACGCCGTTTCGTCGAACGCCGTTTCATCGAAACCGTTTCATCGAATGCCGTTTCATCGAACGCCATTTCATCGAACACCGTTTCATCGAAGCCGTTTCATCGAACGCCGTTTTATCGAACGCCGTCTTATCGAACGCCAGGGTGGCATTCCCGCTTCCTGAAGCTGGTCGGAGGTGCCCATCCCAGGTCCTGGAAGTTTTTGACTTGCATCGCCACAGAACATCAACTGACGGACGACAAGCTGGAGGCGATGCTGAGTTCCCAAGAGCCTCCTCGCCAGAAGATAACCATATAGCGGAAAGGAATGTGAAGGTCCGCCTTTTTTATGAGAACCGACGGACCATGGCTGTGGGGGACTTTTTGAGAGCAATTCCTCATCATTTGAAACGGTGAATGGCTGTCGCACGAACACATGAAGCCCCGAAAGTTTTGAAATAAAATTTGAAGTGACGTACTTACTTTTGACTTTATTGAGTCTTAAAACTAAAAAAACAATGTTTCGTTGTAGTTTCATAAACAGCACCTCAGCTTTAGCTACTGCAAGCTTCGGGCAGTAAAAAAGTATCGATAGAAAGACATGAGAGGCTAGGAGGCTAGGAGGCTCACATGGCTAAAGTTTTTGCGCCTGCGCAAAACCTATGTCGCCTTCTGGCCTCCATGAGTTGGAGTGCGTTCTCACCGGGAGTGCGACTTTTTATTTATTTGTTACAACACCCTCAAGGCAAATCGGGTAATACAGAGGGGGTGAACAGATATGCACAATATGCGAAACAAACATAAAGATCGGGACAAACATCTTCATGGGTTACTTGCACCAAAATAAATTGTAACAGCTATAAGTTTGGACATTAAAAAACCAGACAATGAAATGGGTGAATGACACGAAAATGCACTCGATCCGTGCATAAAAGAGCATCTTTCACACTTTTTATTTAAAAGACATTCGATGAAACGGCCGTCAGCGATTCGATGAAACGGCGTTCGATGAAACGTCCATTTTTTCGATGAAACGGCGTTCGACGAAACGGCGTTCGATGAAATGTCCGGGAACCAACCGAAGGAGCGGGTCGCCGCTGACGTACCGAGTTAACGGTAGAATAGCCACGACTGTAATAACGGGTTCGGCGAAACAGCAGAAACGGCTGTCTCGTCTGGTGCTCAAGTGTCCACGACGATTGATGGCATAGCCAACTGCGACGGACGTAAAGATAAAACTTAAAAGTGATCACTGGCATTTCAATTTACTATAACACACTAACAATTTTTTAATATATATGTTCGCCTCATTTGAAACATTCATATGAGAGATTTGTAGCTCGTGGTACAAGTAAGCTGTACTAGTTAAAAGTAATAAAAAAAAACTAAATTATTCTCCTTCTTTGCCATGCTATTCCATGGCAAAGTTTGAGTCCGCCATACCCACATTAAGGAGAAAAAGCGTCGAAGTCTGCTCGCCCGGGAGATATCAGAGTGTTCCTGCCCTTTTCTACGACCACGTGGCCCTTACATAACGTGACGATGTCAGATCGGCTCGTGATGACTTTCTACCCGCGCCCACTACCGAGGCCGACATCTCTTCCGGGTGGGCCTATAATGCCGTTCTTTCACTTCTAGTTTTTGGTATTTCAGTCTCTTCAGTGGTTAAATTTTCTAGAGAATACAGTCGAACACCATTTAGTAGTTTGAATTCTAACAACAGCTATGGCATATCTTGAGGACGTTGACAGATATCTAATTGAAATATGCTGGCTAAGGCATGTATCTCAAGAGATAGTGTATTATAGTTTTTTTTTTTTCTAACCTCTCTTGCTTTTGTGTTTCAGGTTTTCTGAAGCAAATTTGTTTGTTTTTTATGTTTGTGTATATTTCTGTGATCATTATGTCTTTCTTTATTTTAAGGAAAAGTTCCTAAAATTCAGAGACTGAGTGTTATATCAAAATAATTTAGTTACAACGATCCGTTCTTTTGTTTTGCAGATTGTGTTTTCAAAATTTCAAAAGAAAGCGCAGACTGCCAGATAATCCAACTTGACAGTCTTCCATTTGACCTGCAAATGATTATTGAGCCAAGCCAAATTAAGACTATGACTGCGAATACTTTTTTTTATGGTCCCTATGAGTCATCCTCATTGAACTACACTACGTTCGTAAGTCCCTTTCATAACCCCGTTCCTAAGGACTGCTTTAGGCTCATACTTTGGCTCATGTTGAAAAAGCTATATTTATAATGTTGTAATGTACAATCCGAAAAGCTATACTTTATTATTTTGTATTGTGCAACCCGACTATTTCCAAAAAAATAAAAAATACTCTAGGTTCATCATGCTGAAAAAGACCGGGAGCACGTAATGTGATATGAATGAGGTGGGCGCATGCTGTAAATCTGTGTGACGTCACGTGACGTCATGAGGTCACAAAACTGTGACGTCACAAAACGACACGTGACTTCACAAGACGACACGTGATTTCAGGACGTCACATGACGTTATGGTGTCATGCGACATCATGACGTCTTTTGACGGCGTGACGTGACGTGTCATTCTGACGTCACGTGACACCTCAAAATCACAGTCGCGTGAAGTCAGGGTGTTATGTGACGTCATGATGTCAGATGACTAACGCTGTAGTCTAAGGTATGGACTTTTATGTACGTACATCGTTTATCCAAGTTTCGAAACTTTTTTCACCGCAAAAGTAAGCTATGCAAGCTCCTAGCAATTCTAGGATACGACATGCGGGACAGGCCCCCGCTAAAGGAACCGCAGACTCCATGGCAAGGTAACACCATCACCGACCACAAACCCATGCCGAAGACTCTCAACCAAGGGAAGCGGGCTCGAGCGGTCAGACTACACGCAAGCTGGTGCGAAACGCGCGTGACAGAAGATGAGTTGCGATACACTGACGCCACCAAGACAGAGAACGCCACGACTACGTCGTGGTACGATCCACGAAGAAAGGAAGAGAGCACCGATATACTTTCCGAGGGGACTTCTATCAGACAGGCGGAACTGAGGACTATCTTGGCGGTGGTGAAAGACGTGCTCAAGAAACAGACCCAGCCAGGCAAGGCACGAATTTTTACGGACTCGCTAGAATCAATACGTGCGTGCCGATGCCGCGGAGCAAAGAGTCGCACGGTAAAGCAGATAAAGAAAGTGGCAGTGGAGCTCCGCACAAGGGGCCCCATACTTACAATCGAGTGGCTACCCGGACACAGTGGCATTCCCGGGAACGAGAGGGCACACCGAGCCGCAGGGGAGACAGCCAGTAGCACTCTCTCCGCGCCAGGCTCAACCTCTTGGGAGAAGACGAAGGCGGAAGCAATGGACCCGGAGGAACAGGCCGAACTCGCCAAACTGGAGAGGAAGGCCTACTTCCGCGGCCAGCTTCCGCCGACAGACAGCAACATACTGGCAGGATACAGTCGGTGGGAAAACGTCAGGATTTGAAGAATAAGGACAAATACGGGGCACTTACACCATCCAAATTAGTAATCCTTGGCCTGAAAGAAGATATGGACCCAACCTGCACGAGCTGCTCGGAAGGAACCGAGGCAATGTTGCAGCATCTGCTCTTGGCTTGTAAGGGGCTCGCGCATCATAGAAATGATGCTCTGGACAAGATCCAGGGCGTAGACAAGCCTACGCCGCTCGACGAGTGGACCAATTCAACGGGCACTCCTCAGCACGGGAAAGCCATCCTCGACTCCTTGATACAGTATATTAGGGAGTCCGGTGTACATAGCCTCATCTAAGATGTCACTACCATCATCATGAAATCCCCCTCACCCCTCACCCCTTATAACCCTTCCCCTCTCGTCTCAGGAGCACAACTCCGTAGCGGGTGAACCACTCATCAAATAAAAACATGTCTCTCTCTCTCTCCATGCACATGTTGCGCTAGTAGTTTGAAATAGATGCCAAAATGTCAGAGCTATTATTCAGAAATTACAAATGTATATCTGAAACGTTCAGAAGCAAAATAGGATCGGTTGCCAATAGTCGACACGTTCATCCCCATTAGAGTGTATTCGTGCCACTAAAAATTACGGAAAATCGCTCATAACTTTCGAATCAGATAACGACAAGCTCTGAAACTTTCGCATCTGGTCCAGAGAACTTTAGACCATTAGCGTCGCATATGGGCTGAGACTGAACCTTTCGGCGATGCGTAGTCTATTTTTCCGGTAAAAAATCACTAATATTTTTCGGGGACACTCTACTTTATATACGGATGTAAATTATATGTAACACAGTGTCATGCTTCAGGGCCCAACCGTTGGAGAAGAAAAATGAGTGCAGGACGATGAAAGGAATGAAGCTATATTACACAAAAAAGGCGAAAGAAGAGCACTAAGAGACTAATACACAAATGTACAAAAGTTATCAATAGTCTCACATATTCGCATGCAATCGACGATCTGGTGCTCGGTCTGTGCCAGACTTGGACATAGTTCAACTACTCTACTCAAACTACTGTAGTTTAACTACTTTTCCGAGTAACTTGGTAACTTTCAATTACAACTCTATTTGGGTAATTAGTAGTTCCATTTAACTACGTTTTTCGGGTAACTTCTACTAAAATTACTAACCACTTTCGAAATTTAATCCTATTTTTTTTATTCATCACAAAAGTTTGAGTGCACAAATAAATAAGACGCTGGTAGATGAAGTGGCATTGACGTACAAGGGGCCCCCTCACATTCCGTTCCCACGCACTTACACTCGGCAGCCATAGAAACTGCATCACAGGCGTCCTTGGGCCAAGGTGGCTACGACGAGCCGCCAAAGCATAACACCGGCGCGCACGAACGCAGGCAGAGATGCTTGACAAGCATTGGTCGGGTGTTGACCTGATCCGGTAATGCACGCAAGCGCAGCGTTTCCAGCTGCAAACGTGAAAGACGGGGACACTCCGAGGGTTGTTGCTGTTTTCATGCTGCGCCTTTAGTGAGTTCTGACTCAAGTGGTAGCGCCACTGGGATGACCTCGCAACTGGGCGCCTGTTCTCTTGGTCGCCTCGTTGTCATCGCATACTCCCTTGCAAAGCGGACTCCCCCGCGCCTAAACGCAGACACGGATAATCCGTTCATGGGAGCACGTTCCCGCTTCCAGCTGCAACTGTACGAGCGCCGATGCTTGTTCACGTAATCTTTCGCGTCCTTACGACCTTTCACGCCAGGGAGACCTCCTCTTTGTTGAAAACGTTTTACTTGTCAGGCGCGTCAGGATACCGTAGTCGCCGGCGAGGATTTCGAGTCACCCTTGGGAGATCTTTTTGTTGGACCCAACGTCAACGGCAAAAAACAATTCTTTTTTTTTTTTTAGTGGCGTAGCTATAACATTGCAACGAGACGCGCAGTCGTCCGAATGATCTCATCGTCGTGGTGCGAGACTTGATCCCTTGACGGCCAGGTGCACTCGCTCAGCGAAATCTCCGAACGTCGTGAGAATAAAGAGGGGTTAGTCATAACACTCTCAACTTTCCGAAGAAAAAAAGAAAAGAAAGGAGTGTTTGTTATAAAAGACCCTCTAGGGGCCGAGGCAAGCCTCACATGTTTCGTCATGGACACCAAAGATGCCGACACTCGCTTACCCGACCCTGCGCAGCCTGCATCTGAAATTGAACGCTGTCTTTGCATCCAGCGCCACGGTGGAACGTCTATTTAGCTTGACCGAGGACGTTATTAGAAGGAAGAGAGGAAAACTCTCCGATAACAACTTTGGAAGACAATTGCTTTGCGAGCGAATAAACTATTTTGGAAGTTATAAATGACTGCATTTATTTCCGGCTCGCAGGGTTTTTCAAGGATCAAAACTTCTGTTCATTTTGCTGTCACAAAAACATAAAAAGTAACTTCGAAAGTAACTTCAAAGCAATTCGCTACTTTTTTACAGTAGTTAGTAGTTTACTCAATTACTGTTACGAATGCGTAATTTCTACTCTACTTCAACTACTTTTGGCGTCGATACTCGGTAACTTAACTTAACTACCTTTTCGAGTAATTTTTACATGTCTGGTCTGTGCTGTTGATGGTACAGCCCAGGTCGGTCAGGTAAGTTTGCGTCTTGAAACACGTGCCCGGTGGTGATCTTATTTCGTATCACTGCCGGGATTCGCTGCCACTGGTTTCGGTCGCAATCGAATCTGTCACTCGTCACTTCATTGGCCCCTTTGTGGTTGCTCGGGTCGCCGCCGAGAGTCCCACATCAGCGTCGAGTCAATGCCGAGGTCCCCTTTCTTCTTTTTCGAAGGTCGCCGAGCCTTCCCCTGGTCGTCGCCGGGGTCCTTTCAGTGGCTTCGGAGCACCATTCTGAAGCTGCGCCTCTCTTCGGGTCGCCACCGAAATCTGGGCTGCGCTGCTTCGAAAACTCTTTTCCCCTCCCGCCTCTTGTCCGCTGCTTTCTTTAGGACTAGCAGTCTATACGGCGATGGCACCGGCGGCAATCTGGGCGGCAGGGTGGAATGTCCTAGCGGTGCTGGAGCGAGGCCAGCCGCTGGTGCACTTGCCCCGGAGCGACGCCGATGTCCAATCCTTCTCTCGAATGGCCGCCTGCCGTTTTTCGATGCTCGCGCTTCTCTCTTTCTTCTTCGTCGTGAAACGTGACAATTACCCCCTTCTACAGAAGTTAGTCGCACTAACTTTTTCACTCGTCACGTTGCGCGATCACAGCACACAGTTAATCTTGTCCCTTCACCTAGTACCATGTCCTAGCCATACCAACCAATACACGTCTGACTGATTCCATTAGCAGCACACTCAGCAGGCGAGGTGCCCTCATCTTTTCCAACGTCACACCTAACACCGACGCCACTGCAGCACACTCTACAAGCTTTCTTGTCATTCACTGCCGCATTGCTACAATTTACATTTCTACCACCCTTTCAAAACAGCTTTACCTTGAGGAGCAGTGTTCTGTTCTGAAACACGCCCATAGGTGGTTCACTCCCAAATGCTCTTTTTTAGCTTCCGAAAAGTCACCCTCAATGTCAAGTTTTTCAGAACAAACCGATAACCCCACAACTCGCTCACAATTCAGTCACCCTATCCCAACCAGAAAATAACCAAACACAGATCCAATCGACCCGATGCGTTCGGGTAGAAACTCGTACCTCTCCTCGACCTTGTCGATGTCGTGTTCCG